CCATGTCCATATCCATATCCATATCCATGTCCATGTCCATGTCCATGTCCATGTCCATACCCATATCCATGTCAATATCCATGTCCATATCCATATCCATAACCATATCCATGTCCATATCCATACCCATGTCCATATCCATCCATACCCTTACCCATATCCACGTCTGTGTCTGTGTCCATATCCATGTCCATGTCCATGTCCATAACCATATCCATATCCATATCCATATCCATGTCCATATCCATGTCCATGTCCATGTCCGTATCCATGTCCATGTCCATGTCCATATCCATATCCATGTCCATGTCCATGTCCATGTCCATGTACATGTCTGTATCCGTATACATCTCCATATCCATGTCCATGTCCCTGGCCATGTCCATATCCATGTCCGTATCCATATCCATGTCCATATCCATATCCATTTCCATTTCCATGTCCATGTCCATGTCCATATACATATCCATGTCCATGTCCATATCCATATCCATGTCATGTCCATGTCCATGTCCGTGTCCATATCCATATTCATGTCCATGTCCATGTCCATATCCATATCCATGTCGTGTCCATATCCATGTCCGTATCCATATACATGTCCATATCCATGTCCATGTCCATGTCCATATCCATGTCCATGTTCATATCCATCCATATCCTTACCTATATCCATGTCTGTGTCCTTGTCCGTGTCCATATCCGTGCCCATGTCCATATCCATGTTCATGTCCATATCCATGTCCATGTCCATATCCATATCCATATCCATATCCATGTCCATGTTCATATCCATATCCATACCCATGTCCATATCCATGTCCATATCCATACCCATATCCAAATCTATCCATACTCATACCCAAATCTATCTATATCCATCTCCATCCCCACCTATATCCATGTCCATCCCCATGTCCATGTCCATATCCATGTCCATGTCCATATCCATGTCCATGTTCATATCCATATCCATATCCATGTCCATGTCCATGTCCATGTCCATATCCATATCCATGTCCATGTCCATAGAGAGCCAGAGACAGGCATTTATCATGCGAAATCAGCTCACTCAATTATGGATCCTGGTAATTTCCCAGAACTGCAGGGTGAGTAGACAGTTTGGAGACCCAGGAGGAACGATGGTGTAGTTCTAGTTCTAAGGCTGTGAACTTAGAGTCAATAGTGTGAATTCCAATCCAAAGGCTTGACAGGCTCAAGAGCCAGGAAGAGCAGATATTTCAGTTCAAGCCCTAAGGGAGGAAAAAGCCTGTCTCGGTTCAAAGGCAGTCAAGCAGGAGAAGTCTTTCTTATTTGGAGTAGGGCCAACATTTTTGTTCTATTCAGGTCCTCACCTGACTGCATGAGGCCCACACACACAGAGGAGGGCAAGCTGCTTTACCCGGTCTACTGACTTAAATGTTGATCTCCTCCATAAATGCCTTCAGAAACACAAAATAATGTTTGACAAGTACCTGGGCATCCCGTGCCTCCATCAAGTGGACACGTAAAATTGACCATCACAATAGAAAATATAGAGGTGACAACGCAGGCTCAGAAGGTGTAGGGCAGTGTCAAGGCTCCGACTTCTGAGGGGAAGGAAGGCAAGGAAGGTTCTTTCCACACTGAGGCATGAAGGGAAATGCACCCAGTTCTGCTGAACGACCAGGAGTGTGGTTTAGGGAAATTGCAAGTGTGGGGATGGCGTCCCTTCTCTAGGTGACAAAGGTGATTTGAGGAGAAGGCAAAAGGGATGCAGTAACTGTGACACCTCGAGGCCACCTTCCATGGTGGGCTGGATGCTGACGTGCTCATTGGCTCCCCAAGTGCTCTGGCCGCTCTCCCCACTGCAAGGCCTTGCAAAGGTGAAATAAGGCAAAGTGGACGTTGTGGGTCCCTATCTGGGAATCATTGAAAGGAGGGACCAGAGTTCCTTTCAAACAAAACAGATATTTGGTTTGTTGCCGGGAGGCTTGAGGATCTTGTCTTGCATTTATTTTAGTAATCATGCCAAAACCTTGACCTGCAGCTGCCGGGCAGCAGCGTGGCGAGAGGACACAGACGTTACAGCCATTTGTGGGCGGGGTGGTCCTGCAGTTGAGAGCCAGGACACTCAGTTCTGACTTCCAGGTTCTCTTTGTGAGACTGATGAGGAGGTGATACTTCTTTACACACCAGAAGGATACTAAAGAGATCCCTCCATTTTTAGTGTTTCATTGACAATACTAAAATGGAACCCAAATTTCATCTTTATCCAACAGAGTTCCCCAAAATGTATACACACTTTTAACAGCTGAAAGCTCAATTTTGAAATGAAATTAATTTTAATAAGCACGGCCTTCATAATTTTTCAAAGTGCATGTGTACATTTCTGGGGCATCCTGTATTTCACAAAAGGGAGTTTTATTTATTTTTCATTGCGAGTTTAAAAGACCAATAAAGAGGCTCTTTCTTTGTGTTTTTCCACTTCTTAGCATCCTTTGGTTAACTCACCTGCCTTCTTTCCAGACTTTTCTCACAAAAGCCAAGCCCCAGATCCATTTCCTAGCTGTGTGGCAAGAGGGGAAGTGGAAATGATTTACCCAAGCATAAGATGCCTGCTATAAGGCACAAAGTGATTGAAGACTGCCTTACAAGAGTGGAGTGGCTTGGGGTTGAGGGGACACTAATCACATGACTAAGAAATGCCAGGGTGTTATGTAAATAGAGGAATGGACTTACCTACCCTTCCAAGGAGGGGATGGCCCTCCCTGCCAAAAGAGTTCCAGCACCCTTTACTAGAACAGCTTTTCAGGTAAAAATGTGGACACAGACATTCGAGAGACAGAGGAGCTCGCAGAACACTTTGGAGGGAAGCAACATTTTTTAGAAATAAACCAGTAAGGATTCACTTCTGATAGATGACCTTGGTCGTGCATAAGCAGGAACCGAGGGTTCAAATATTCCAGGCACCACTAGGCAGTTGGAGGTGTGAGTGGGGGACAAGAGCAGGAGCAGAGCCCAAAGAGGGTTAAGCTGGACCAGAGCTAGTCCCTCCGTCACTGGGGGAACTCAGGGTTGGGCGTCACGTGCCTGAGAGGCCTGGACAGCCTGTTTTGATCATTAAGAGTCGCATCAGAAAGTTGGTTGTATTATACAGGAAGGGCAGTCACTCAGCCTCCTAGGTCTCATGTTAAAGAGCCCCTTAGATAGTATTAGGCTGAGGCGCCTGGGTGGGTGGAGAGTTGGTCCAGAGTCTAGTGTGTGAAGACACATCGCCATAAGGCGCCGGCTTGCTAAGGCTTATTTCTGTCTAGGATGCCATGATATTCACAGGCCCTGGGACAAATCAATGGCTGTCACAGGAGTCATGGGCTCTTGTTTTGTCTCTTGCTTCACCCGCTTTCCTGGCAGCCCTGGGCCTCAGATGGGGGCAAGTTTAATATTACAGGCAAAGGTCATTTTCAACTAAGGAACTCTCATGGTTCCTGGGCAACACCAGAGACTACCAACCCGTCATGGCCACGCAATCCCCCTTTCCTGCAGCAAGCTCATGGAGAGAGGTGGACCCACGAGGCTGGGAATCAGCCCACCGGTGGTCTGAGCCGAGATGTGAGCCCAGACTCTCAAGTACTCGGACTCCAGCAGCCACGCCAGCCCCGGGGGTGGTGCTCAGGGGACACTTCTTGGTCATTCCAGAGATAGACAGGGCCCTGGCTCTAGTTTGAGTACCTTGTGCACAGAAAACATGAAGAGACTGAAAATGCAGTAACAATGTCTGTTCTGCAGATGATTAATCCAGACGGGAACACGGGGCGTTCGCACTGCAAGCTGAGTACACACGGGGAGGGCGAGGTGTGAGCTGAAACGGGACCTTTCTCAGGTGTTTGAAAGAATGACCAGCGAGACTGGGGAGAGGAGGGCACGTGCTAGTGGACAGAACGGCCGCATCATGCACAGGGGGACAGCCCAACTGTAAGAGAACAAAGCGGAGCCCGGGGGACATGAAGGCAGGAGGCCGGCAGGAAACCTGCAGGTCTCCCCCACGGCCGGCGACGCTGAGTCAGGGCGAAGCACAGGCCCTGGCGCAGGCCCGGGTGGATCAGGAGCTTTAAGCTAGTTAGGGCACGATGCCAGGAAACAACCTTGGCCGGAGGGATGGGTCATCTTCTGACATTGTTGTGCTTCTGGCTGCTGCGGCCACCAGCCTTTTAGAGAGGGAGAGCGGAGCAGGGACCCACGGTGCACGCTGCTAGGGAGCACCCTAGAGCACACGTGTGCACATGGGGGCTTGAGGGGGTGGAGGGATGTAGGCAGTGAGGTCAGTCACCAGCGAGCTGGGCTTGGGCAAGGGCTGCGAGTGGGCGGCAAGGGGACGAGCGAGTGAGGAAGGCTCAGCGGAAGGCCTGCGGAGCGGCTGGGCGTCACGCTGAGCTGCGGGCCAGGAAAGGTGGCCGAGGGCACACGCTCGTTGCCGTTCTTCTCAGGCTGACGTCACCTCTCCTCAGGCAACGGCTAAAGCCTCAGGGATGGTCGAGCTGCGGGACCAAGCCAAACCCTGCCTCTCAGTGGGGTTGCTGGGAACAAATACTTAGAGTCTGTGGAGCCAAGAGAAACTTTCATTAATTCAAACAGGCATACATTTGCCTGCTTACTTAGTTCACAAGCGTTATCAGCTGAGTTCCCCCAATGGGGTGGATTGACACAGCCTATTTTCCTGGTTGGTGGAATCGCTGTGAACCACAAACAGTAATTTTCCTTCCGTTTAAGCACAGCAGCCAGCAGGAAGGGGACAAGGGTGGGGTGGAGGCCGGCGAGGAAGCAGATGAGCGGCCGAACGAAGGGGCGCCGGGGCAGGGGCCTCACCCCACCCTTCTCAGTGCTGCACTCTGGCCCCACCCGCTCTTACAGCCCTGCACCCACACTCTTCCCTGGTGTCCGCCGCTCCAGCGGCCACGGCAGCTCGCTGAGCCATCCCGCCGCCGTGGGACCCGGGCGACACCGCCGCCCGGGCTCGGCTAACTGCTGCACGCTCAGGCCGCCTTGTCCTCACGCCCGCCCGGTAAGTAGGCACTGTCTTTACCTCTTTTAGACAGATAAGGAAGTTGGGGTCTAGAGAGCTTAAAAAGAAGCCCAGAGTTAGGCGGTTACGTGTTCCCCGCGCTGTGTCCGGTTTCTCTGTCCGCAGAGGGGCTGCACTAGCAGGAGGTCAGCCTGAAGGGGGGCGAGGGTGCCTCAGTGTCCTGGGGCTGCTGGACACGGCACCACCAGCCCGCGGCTTCGAGCGACAGTTCGTTGTCCCACAGCACCACGGGCAGAAACGGAGGTGCGGGTGCTGGTGGGGCCACAGCCCAGGGGAGGGGAGGGGACCCTCTTCTGGCTTCTGGTGGTTCCTTGGCTCAGGGTGTGTCTGTGTCCACATTTCCCCTTTCCCGAGGACACCAGCCACACTGAATAGGGGCCACCCTACCCTAGTATGACAGCCTGTTAGCATGTTACTGATTGCATCTGCGGTGACCCTGTTTCCAGAGAAGCTCGCATTCTGAGGCCCTGAGGGTAGAACTTGAATCCACGACTTTTGGAAGACACAGCTCACCGGTACCAGAGCTGCTGGGTAAGATGACTCTCAGCTATTTTGTGGCCTATTTCTCTCCACTCCCAGCAGAACCACACACATCTTCCTACTACCCGTGTGGGTGGGGGGCAGGGAGGGGTGCAAATAGGGAGTGAAAGGGGGTTGAGGAGGCTGGAGTAATTCCCGTCTCCTACCTCTGGCCTCACTGATCCTCAGGCTGTGTCCATTTGTCCTGAAGGGACTACAGGGGACTCCCTCAAGACCCATGTGTCCTCTGTGTATACAGGTGGCTTCTCCTTCATTACATGCAAACACCCGATGAGCAGCTTCATGCCCAGTATTTTGAAACTTCCATTAAAGGAGAAGTCATGACCAGGTGAGTGTGACTCAGTGGTTAGAGCATCGGCCCGAGCACTGAAAGGTGGCGGGTTTGATTCCCATCAGGGCACATATCCAGGTTGCAGGTCCCATCCCCAGTCCAGGTGCGTGCTGGAGGCAATCAGTTGATGTTTCTCTCTCATATCGATGTTTTTCGTTCACTTTCCCTTTCTCTCTAAAGTCAATAAAAACATTTTTTTAAAAAGTGAAGTCTATTTTTGACCCCTTGAATCTGACCTTGTGACTTTTAAAATTTATCTTTATTGTTGAAAGTATTACAAATGTCCTCTTTTTTCCCCCCATTGAGCCCCTCCACCCCACACCCTCTCCCTAGGCCTTCACCACACTATTGTTTGTGTCCATGGATTATGAATATATGCATATAAGTTCTTTGGTTAATCTCTTCCCACCCACCCCTCCACCCCCACTTTCCCTCTGAGATCCCTCAGTCTGCTCCATGCTTCTGTGTCTCTGGATCTATTTTATTCATCAGTTTATTTTGTTCCTTACATTCCACATATGAGTGAGATCATGTGACACTTGTCTTTCTCTGACTGGCTTGTTTCACTTAGCATAATACTCTCCAGGTCCCTCCATGCTGTCTCAAAGAGTAAGAGATCCCTCTTTTTTCTAGCTGCATAGTATTCCACGGTGTAAATGTCCCACAGTTTTTTATCCACTTATCTACTGATGGGCACTTGAGGTGTTTCCAGATCTTGGTTATTGTAAATTGTGCTGTTATGAACATAGGGGTGCATAGATTCTTTATGATTAGTGTTTTGAGTTTCTTAGATATATTCCTAGAAGTAGGATCACTGGGTCAAATGGCAGTTCCATAAATCCATCTGATCTAGTGTGTCATTTAGAGTCATTGTTTCCTTGTTGATTTTTTTTGGTCTGGAAGACTTATCCAGTTAAGTCAGTGGAGTATTAAAGCCCCTACTATGACTGTGTTGTTGTCGATTTCTCCCTTAAAGTCCTCCAGTTAAAAAAAAAACATATTTAGGTGCTCCTATATTGGGTGCATATATGCTTAGCAGGGTTACATCCTCTTGATGGATCAATCCCTTTAGTAGTAAATAGAGTGATGGTGGCATGGAGAAGAGAATTAACCAAAACTTAGGAGTCAGACAGGATTTCCCAGAGCAAGAGACCCTTGAACTGAGACGTGAAAGTGAATAAGAATTAGCCAGGGAAAGGATGGGAAAGGCTCATCTCCTCTGGTGAGCTGCTTAGGGGATGGTGGACTATCCGTTCAGTGTTCCTAGACCCACCCTCTCCCTAGCCCCAAGCAGGTGAGCAAATGAACAAACCAATTGCTACACAGAAGGCTTTAGACTTCATTGAAATTTTCAAATATCCAGGACAATATTAACCATACTTTTTATTAATACTACAGGCCCAGATTTGCTCATGGCCTGCCAGCAGTGTTTGAAGAAACCAGAGGATACAGACAGTGCTTTATTTAAACCCCCTTTGCTTCCATTTTGTCAGCTTTAAGCACTTTCCTGCCATGTTCATTTTGATCTTCCTTGAAGATGTAAAAATAGGCACCTCTCTAAGCCTCTCCCAGGGGGCCTTTGGTCCTTCACCCCTGTGTGCTTTCCTGTTTTAGGGACAGAATGAGCCTGCATGGAGCTGAGCCTACAATGCATTGAAGAAGGGTAATACTTTGCAAGGGTTCAAAATGGGAAGGCCTGGGGGGGTGGTCAAAGATGGGAAAAAAGGGGACAGCTGTAATACTTTCAACAAGAAAGATAAATTTTTTAAAAAGGGAGATCTGTGATGCAGAAACGTAAACAGAAATGTGCCAATATTCAGCAATGAATGAGCAACCAATTTATGAACCTTTTTGGTATGCAGGAGAGAAAGCAGCTACAGGGCCTCTTATTTTAACTAAAGAAAGCAACCCTATGAAATATAAAAAAACTAATTTAACCTACAGGCTCCATCTGTGTAATTTATATCTCACATTTGATAGAGTGACAAGTCAAGAGAGAAAGAATAAAAGATATAGACTCATATGCATGGCCATCTAATTCTATACACCTGTCTTTTACATCCCTCCTTTTATAGAAAAGAAACTGAGACCAGGAGAAATGAAGTGTGCTCACATTCAGAGAGCAAAATGTATCTGGGGTGACAAGCCCATTTATTATCTTGATTGTGGTGATGGTTTCAAAGTGCATACATATGTTAAAGCTTATTGAATTACACACTTTGTGTGCAGTTTATTATATGTCAAGTATGCCCAATAAAGCTTTCTTTAAAAAAAGAATAAAGGAAAAATGAAATGTTTGCATGGGAAAGTAACACTACTGGACTGTAATTTTGAAAACTGTAGAATGTGAGACAGACGCCTTCTTCAGTAAATTAATTACTAAGAAAAACAAAGAGGAAAACAGAACCCATAAGTCAGAAGAGACGTGAGGAACAGATCCATCAAATACAATGTGTAGATTTGTTTGGATCCAGATTCAAACAACTCAACTGTAAAATAACATTTTTGAGGATATCAGAAAAATTTATATACTTACTGCATAACTGATGATAGTATGTGATTAGTGTTTTTATTAAGTGTGATAATGGCACTGTGGTTTTGATTACAAAAAAATTAAAAGGTGCTTATTCTTTAGATAGAGACGGAAATACCTACAGGTGAAGTATTAGGATGTCTATTATTTGCTTAAAAATAATCTGATGGAGATATTTGAAATGCTAAGATGGGGGACACCTGGAATACTCTCGACAATAAATATTTTTTAAAAAGAAATAAATGTTAAGAAATTGTATGCAATTCTTATTATAATAACAATGGCATATTTCTTAAATCTAGAACAAATATTCCAAAAATTTATATGGAACCCAAAAGACCCCAAATAGCTGCAGCAATATTGAGAAAGAATAATAAAGTTGGAAGGATCACAATCCCTGATATCAAACTATAGTACAAAGCCACTGTAATCAGAACGGCTGGACCTGGCACAAGAATAAGCATATAGATCAATGGAACAGAGTAGAGACCCCAGAAATCGACCCAACCCATTACTCTCAATTAATACTTGACAAAGGAGGCAAGAACATACAATGGAGTAAAGACAGTCTCCTCAATAAATGGTGCTGGGAAAATTGGACAGGTACATGCAAAAATATAAACTAGACCAACTTACACCATACACAAAAATAAACGCAAAATGAATAAAAAACTTAAATGTAAGTAGTGAAACCATAAAAATCCTAGAAGAAAACGTAGGCAGCAAAACCTCAGACATCTCTCCTAGCAATATGTATGTTGATACATCTCCTAGGGCAAGAGAAACAAAGGAAAAAATAAACAAATGGGACCACATCGAACTAAAAAGCTTGTGCACAGCAAAAGAAACCATAACAAAATGAAAAGGGAACCCACAGTATGGGAGAACATATTTGCCCATGATACATCTGATAAGGGTTTAATTTCCAAAATATATAAAGAACTTATACAACTCAACACCAGGAAAATAAACAATCCCATTTAAAAATGGGCTAAGGACCTGAATAGAAACTTCTTCAAAGAGGACATACAGATGGCCAACAGACATATGAAAAAATGCTCAACTAATGCTGTCACTAATCATCAGAGAGATGCAAATTAAAACTGCAATGAGGTATCACCTCACACCTGCCAGAATGTCTACCATCAATAAATCAACAAACAAGTGCTAGTGAAGATGTGGAGAAAGGGGACCCTAGTACACTGCTGGTGGGAATACAGACTGGTGCAGCCACTGTGGGAAACAGTATGAGCCCTGGCTTAGTTAGTTGGGCATTGTCTCATGCACCAAAAATTGCCAGTTCAATTCTCTGTCAAGGGCACATGCTCAGGTTTGGGCTTTATCCCTGGTAGGTGGCATGCAGGAAGCATTGATGGATGTTATGCTCTCACATCAATGTTTCTCTTTCTCCCTCTCCCTTCCTAACTCTCTAAATATGAATAATATATATATATATTAAAAGACAACAGTATAGAGTTGCCTCAAAAAATTAAACATGGAACCACCATTTGACCCAGTGATTTCACTTCTGCAAATATATCTTAAGAATCCCAAAACACCAATAAGAAAGAATATATATATCCTTATGTTCATAGCAGCATTATTTACAATAGCCCAAATCTGGAAACAGCTCAAGTGTCCATAAGGAGATGAGTGCATAAAAAAAAGCTGTGGTACATTTACATGATGGCCCTGAAAAAGAAGGGAGAGCATGGATGGACCTGGAAATTATTATGCTAAGTGAAATAAGCCAGTCAGAGAAAGACAAATGCCACATGATCTCATTAATATGTGCAATCTAATGAACAAAATAATCTGATGAATAAAATAGAACCAGAGGCATGAATACATGAAACAGGCTGACAGCTGAGCTGTCACAAGGGTGGGGAATCTGGGGGATTGGATAAAAGAAGGTGAAGAGATTAGCCAAAGAAGATACAGTGAAACCCCTGTTCTTGGAAGTCTCTCATCTTGAACAATTTGGTTTTCCACTAAGATGTCCTCAGAAAAATTTCTTGGTTGTTGAACAAAACTTCAGATCTCAACTAGACAACCCTTTCATGCTGATAGCTAGATGATTAGTCACATGTCCCCCAGAGGACAAACAAAGGAGAGAATGCTAGAGTATCAGTTAGTTTACTGCTAAACCTCAAATTGTTAACATCTCAGGAAATTGTGCTGTGAATATTTCCGTGATTTTTTGCTTGTGTTGCTGCTCATTATTAAATATGTACAGTAAGTCACTATGGGTCGTAAGAAGATTAGTGATAACAGAAAAGTGAAAAGAAAAGTTGTGAGAACAACAATAGAGCTTTAAAAAGAAATAATTGAGAATTCCAAGATGGCGGGAGACTGAGTAGAAGCTACACTAACATTTTCCCAGGCCCAAACTGGAATTACAACTAAAATATAGAAAAACCATCCTGAATAATCAACTGAAGACGAGCTG